GGTTTCCGCTACTTCATTGCAAAAGATTTGCAACTGAACAAAACCCTGCTAGCTAGTCAACTAGTAAGTAGTAACCACTTTAATGAACAAACAATTTACTTAATGCTTCTAAGACTGACATTATCATGCTCAAAATCAAACAATCAATAAACACATGGAAATAAGAAGTTTTCACGAAAATCTTACAAGAATCGCCTAATTTCAGGAGGCATTCGCTGTCGGGGGTCAGATCCATCAGTATTCTCAGTTCCTTCCTCCGACCTCTGGGTCATTAGAATATCATGATCGTCGTCTGGAAGAACCTCTGTAGGCTCAGGCAGAAGCTCATCGATGGCATTTGCAAATATTCCAACATACCTACGTGTGTTTTCAGTGACCCGTCTCAAAAATACTTCATCCAAGTCCTTATACTGGGCTTTTTCAAAGACAGTCCAAAATTAGGCATTGTAACTTTAGTGAACAAGAAAAGGTCGAAGTGAAATGCGGAAAAGTTTACGTTAATCAAGTCTTCAAGCTCGATCTGGACAGCCTTAGTTGAGCGATTTGCAACATCTTGCTGGAGTCAATAAATTGGAAAAATGAATTATTACAAAACCCCAAAAAATCAGATAGATTTATTTCCTTTTCATTTTGTACTTTTTTTCTCAGGTGTACACGGAAGATTAGATAAGAAATAGGGAAAACTCACGAGAGTTTTCATATATTTAGCTTCGCCATTTGGATCTGCAAAGTTCAAAATAAAATCTTTTGCAATATCTGCATCCAAAAAAAAAAAATGAATAAAATTCAATTCGTTCATATAAATCTAAATACACAAATAATCAATGAGAACAGGCTTGCCTTTATCTCGTTTGAAGTCAAGGTCGTTCATGGCGCCGCTCTGGTCTAGCTGCGTATGTGTGAGAGTGAGATAGATAAGAATGGAGGTGAGAATTGGCGGCAAAATGAAGAGAGGGGAGAATAAGAGGGATTTGGCGGGAAAAAGGCAGAAGGAGAAGTTACAATAAAATCCTCCGAGTTCCCATGAAATTTCAATTAAGTGATGAAACTTTTAATTTATCTTAATTAGATCACTAAATAGTAAATACTAAATACTACTACCCTTCTATTGTCTTGTTGACTCATGCTCAATTTAGTTTCAAGACCTATAACTTCGATTTATTCTTAAATTTCACTACTTATTAGTTCACTCTAACTATAATTTCTTATTTCACATAATTTTGGATCTGTAGGATGATAGTTATATTTGTTCCCATACGTCAAGATAATATTTACACACTTTATTTTCTTATTTCGTACCAAATTATAAGTTTGTATTGCCCATTTTGTAGTTGATCATACTAATTAAAGGTGTAAAACAAGTTATGGTGATAGTTTAGGAAGACACGCGTTCTAACGTTTTTCAATTTTAGGGCTTGTTCGGTATTAATTATGTAAATTAATTTTTTTGATCGTTGGAGAGAAAAGTGCGTCCCACCTATAAAAGAAAAAATAAAAAAATGATGGCTAAATTAAGAAAATAATAATCAAAAAATTGATTTTTTTTTTTTTGGATTTCCCTCTAAAGCACCCTGTAAGTATTATGCCCTAGGTCCAATCGACTTTGGACATAAATACTTTTGTATATAATTAATGCAATTAAATGACAGATTTATTATTTAATTAATAGACAATTAAATAAATAATAGAGTCCGTAGATTCAAATATTTTAATTTGTTAATCACAAGGA